ATTCAAAGAGGAAATTCAAATATTCCATACTTGGTGTCAAAAAAGCCTGCTACAATTAAATATAAAAAAATGTAACTCCATTACCATTAGTAGAAAACAAAAGCTACCCGATATAACAGTCACTTTAGGAAACCAGATCGTAGAAAAGTGTGATAGAGTCAGGGATCTAGGTGTTATTTTGGACTCAAAACTTACTTTCACCGATCATTATAACACAATTATTAACAGAGCTAACAACATGCTTGGTTTCATAAAACGTTTCTGCTACAACTTTCACGATCCGTATACGATAAAAACATTGTACATTGCTTATGTAAGATCGATATTAGAATATTGCAGCATAGTTTGGTCTCCTTTTTCAATCACACACGAAGAAAGAATAGAGTCCGTTCAAAAGCAGTTTCTGTTGTATGCACTCCGCAAGTTAGGTTGGACTGTATTTCCTCTGCCATCTTACACAGCTCGGTGTATGCTCATAAATATCCAAACATTAAAAAAGCGTCGTGAATTTGCTATGATTTCTTTCGTAAACGATATCGTATCACATCGAATTGATTCAATAGAACTATTGTCATCCTTAAATTTATATACACCATCTAGGCATTTACGAAATAGAAATATATTTGCTACAAATCGTCATCGTACGAATTATGCCAAATTTGGACCCTTGAACCAAATGATGGATACATATAATAAGCACTGCGATAACATTGACTTTACAATGACAAAAACCAAATTAAAGCAATATTTTAATTCCTCGCATAACGTCAGCTAGAAGTAATGTTTTAACTTGTTCTCAAGACATATTATAAAAAAATATAAACAAAGACAAAATTGTAAACATAGCTCTTAAGACAACAATTGTAAAACGGTCTACACTGATTGACGACAAATAAATAAATAAATTAAAAGCGTTTTGGCAATATATATTTTTAAACTCATTAGTACTATTTTTACACAAGCCCCTCTTCAAAAAGTAGTCGTGATTCAATATGAAAAACTGAGAGCACAAAATGGTGCCTTTACTAAAAAGGAACAATTATGCAAAGTTTCAGTGTAATTGGTGTCAAATAATTTTACAAAAAAAGACAAGGTACTCTCTGAAAGTATTTTGATGAGGATATAGAAAATTCCACCATCACATTAGGCTTTCTTATTTCGAAACATTTTAGTTATATATCTTAAGCTCCTATTTGAATAATGCACTGAAGAAAACAGCTAAAAAAAATTGTCGATCACATGGTGTTAATGAAACATTTTGTTACAAACGACAATGTAGCGTGGAATCCTAACAATCCGGTATCAATATCGAAATCCAAAAATATGTAATTGATTTAGATCATCCAGTACCTTGTAATAAGTGGGAAAATATTTCCTCTCCATCTAAAAGTGCTCACAATACCTTCATCTACTGAATAAGACACAATCAACAGTGCGATAGGTGTGTTCACAGGTTTCATTGCTGCTATCAGCTATCGGAGTAGAATATATCTAGCATTCCCCATCCCCGTCGTGGTCGTGAGTGCTAAATGTTGAATCGTCTCATCAGCGGCAGCAAATCTCGCGCTATTTCCGTCCCATCATCAAGCCCTCGTGACTGCTTGCTGGTGTGGGGGGGGAAAACGGCGAACGGAATGATTTCCATTATCATCCACACAATATCCACTTCATTTGCGATATGATTCTTCGTCGAAGCGAAAACGCAATATCCTACCCACCTCACGACTCTACTCCACACTACAACAATGACGGGTTCTTCCGGGTCTTTCGACGGAGATAGAGAGACTACCGGAGAAGCGAAAATTGAATAAGAAAATCTTCATTTAACCAACTTTCAGCTATGGGCGGACGACGAGCACGCCCTCAGCTTATTCCGTGTTGCTCTCCCGGGACAAAGATTCACCGCGCGTTCCTTAGCCTCTGAACCTTCCAACCACCCAATTGTGCTGGGAAAGCTCACGGGAGCTTTCCATCCCCCCACCAAATGCTGCGAAGATTGGAGCACACCGAGGAGTCGTAAACACGAAGTGGCAATAAAAAGCTGTATGAAAATATTGCTTAATAAAATTAAATCACAAGAGCTGTTTTGCTCATGAAGATGACTATCAGGTGGTCGTTGCTGGTGTTGGGGTGGTGGTGGTGGCGGCGGGACCTGGGATTTCCTGGATTCGTACTTTTCATCACTCATACCCCACAATTGACGCTGGCGAGGACGATGAGTTGAAGTAATCCTTCATTTATTTATCCCTCTCGCAAAAAAGAGGGATTGAGTGAGGTGAAACAGGATGATTCAATATCAGCTGGAACCAGTGGAAGTTACTTGCTATACGCACTCGGAACACCAGTAGCTGTAAATGTAAGGGTGTTATTTCGGTTGTGATTATGCAAATCTCGAAACAGTCTGGTCTGTATGTTGTATTCTATAATCTGTTTAATGGGGGGCGACCCCGGCGTAGTGGTTAAGATCCATACCTCTCACGCCAAAGTCACGAGTTCAAATCTCACCCCCGGACAAGTCACGAATGACCCAAGAGTGTTAAAGTGACTATAATAAAAAAAAAATCTGTTTAATGAAACTTGGCTTGTGCAGATGTATCTTTACTTGGCGAATGCAAGAGCAATATTAATAAAATACCATCATCATATAAGCCACAAAACAAATGTGGAACTCAATCATAAAAAATCAACCCCATTTCAGTGATTTCAAGTGGTATAGTAGGACATCGTTCTGTCAAACTGATTATACCAGCTGTAAAATAAGGAAGGAGATCCAGGGGGTAATCAATTCTATTAAAATATTTTAACGTGGTTTATAATTCTATGTCTTCTTGGCGTTCTTGAACTCGTGTTTTGCCGTGTATTGCCATAATAATTTACGTTCTTTATTTATAATTATAAATTATCGTTTGCATAAAAGAGGAGACATTTTTTGAAGATTTTTTAAGCGATGACCTGCCACCTTAAAAACGTTATTTTAAGCTGTTATGTGTTAACTGTTTACAATTCAATTTTGAAAGCGATACGTATTGGTTTTCTGTAATTATGTTCAAAAATTGGAGAAACTCCAAGCGAACACTTGTTTATTTCTTTAAATTTGCGTGGGTATTTTTTTAAATTTTCTTTCTCTATGATAAACTTTCACGCAAACCAAAAATCTATTACAATGAATGTTAGTTCCGTTTCATGAAGAGTGTACCCCATTAAGTATAAATACGTTAGGCATACGGACGTTAGGTATATGGACGTTAGGCATAATGGGCATTAGGCATAAAGTCATTAGGCATAATGGACGTTAGGCATAATGGACGTTAGGCATAATGGACGTTAGGCATAAAATACCTTGCTGCTGTGCAACTCTAGAAACCTGTTTTGAGCATGGTTAGCAATGCTTGAATTAGGCTAGGCGTTGAGTAAACAACATATTTATTCAATAAGCACAGTTTGGAATCCATTATTTATCATATCATAAGTGACGTAGCTACATATTTACTTAGATCCAAGATTAGTGGCGATAGCGGTTAAGTCATCTGGCAATGAAAACTCAGCATAGTGTGGAACTTTGTCTTGAAATCAATCGCATCTAGAAATAAAAAAAATCACACATTTGATGTAATATATTCTTACACACATATTGCAATTGTCAAAGAAGAAAAGGTTTTCCTCAAAGAACAGCTCATGAAATAAAAAATGGTGAATTCTGTGGTTTTTCATTAAATAACAAAAAAAAAAAGCATACCTGCTGCTTCCAGGATTTCCTGCCATACTTTTCGATACAACGATTATGTTTTTGTTGTCATCAGAATGAATCATCCATTGCAAGTTTATCTGTTTCTTCTGACGCTGGAAACTCGGACATCAACCAGGCATTCTCCTGGCAGGAATTGCAGCATGCCCTCCGCTGCAGCAACGGAAAGTCGGCGGGTCCCGACGAAATCGGGTACCCTCTACTCAAGAGGTTACCAACGCCAGGCCAGCTACGGATGCTGGAGCTTTTCAACAAGCGCTGGCTCACCAACTCGTATCCAGCGTCGTGGAAAGAGAGCTTAGTCATTTCCATCCCAAAATCCAATGAAACAACCCGTGAAGCTAGTAAGTTCCGGCCAATAGCCTTGACATGCTGTATGGCCAAGGTCCTGGAGTGAATGGTCAACAGGAGGCTAAAGCATTTCCTTGAAGCCGAAAACCTTCTAGACCATCGGCAGGAACGTCAACTTATTTTGCAACATTAGGGGAGGTCCTCAAGAGTGCCAACGATAACGGTCTCCACACCGAGATCGTCTCGCTGGATATATCGAAGGCCTTCAACAGGACGTGGACGCCCCTCGTCTTAGAGCAGCTTGTCAACTGGGGGCTGTGTGGACCCATGGTCCACTTCATCAAACATTTCCTGACCGATCGCTCTTTCAGAGTCGCAGTTGGCAACACGAGGTCCCAGCTTTTCAGAGAAGAGACGGGTGTCCCTCAAGGTTCAGTTATCGCCGTTACCCTCCTCCTTGTGGCCATGAATGGAGTTTTCGGAGGACTGCCGAAAAATGTTTACATTTTCGTGTATGCAGACGATGTACTTATCGTAACTACCGGCCCAACAGCAGCACGCAACAGGATCAAGGCCCAGGCAGCAGTTTCCGCTGTATCCAGGTGAGCCAGCGCGGTAGGTTTCCAGCTTTCGGCCACGAAAAGCGTCAGGTGCCACGTGTGTCCATCCCGGCACCGTGTAAGCGGGCCACCTATTAAAGTTCAAAGCTAGCCCATACCACTGAAGAAGACTTGTTGACCGGTCCCTCAACTTCGAGCAGAACTTTAAGGCGATCAAGAACAACTGCCGCAGTAGGATCAACTTGATCCGCACTATCTCTCGCCCCCACCGGTCTAACAATCGTGACACTCGTTTCCGGGTTGCAAGAGCCGTCGTCGATAGTCGCCTACTGTACGGTCTTGAGATGACGTGCATCGCCACCGAAAAGCTCGTGCAGATACTACCACCAACTTTTAACACCTACGTTCGGATTGTCTCTGGTCTTCTTTCGCAAACGCCCGCCGATGCCGCATGCATCGAAGCGGGTATTCTGCCCTTCCGCCATCGTATAACCGCAGCAATTGCAACGAAAGCCGCTGCCTTTACCGCAATGACCTCCGGAAATGACAGGATCTTTCTCCTCGATGAGGGGAACAGACTCCTCCGCATGACTGCCAATTCGGAGCTCCCCCCAGTGGCCAAGGTCCACTGGTACGGAGACAAAAGTTGGCGCATACCTCCACCAAAAATCGAGAGTCGGATAAAAAGCAGGTTCAAGGCTGGAGATAACTCTGCAGTGCTGAAGAGAACAATAGCCGAACTGCTAGGCTCGGACTATCCAACCCATGCCCACATATACATAGACGGATCGCTTTCCCGAGCCGGGGTCGGAATTGGAGTAGCCGGAATTTCAGCACCGATGAGTAGCAGCCTACCACCACAATGCTCGGTTTTCTCCGCCGAAGCTGCGGCCATCTTTGTTGCCGTTACAACACCCTCGGACCGGCCCATACTGGTGCTATCCGATTCGTACAGCGTGATACAAGCCCTTACATCAGAGACCATGACTCACCCCTGGATACAGGGTATTGTGGAGGCCACACCTCCCAACACGGTGTTTTCCTGGATCCCTGGGCACTGCGGTATCCCAGGAAACAGCGAAGCTAACTGCCTGGCAGAGTCTGGACCAGCCGGCCCCCGTTACACCGATGAAGTGCCACTACATGACATAAAGCGATGGATAGTCAGCAAAATGTGGGAAGCAGAGTGGTGCCAATCCCAATTCCTCTTCATCCGAAGAATCAAAGGAACGACGAGCAAGTGGACGGATATGTCGAAACTACAGGACCAGAAAGTGGTTTCTCGTCTTAGGACAGGGCATACAAGGATCTCACATAGTTTTGGTGGGGCGCAGTTCCACAGAATGTGCTACGTTTGCGGAACCTCTGCATCGGTGGAACACATCCTATGCCTGTGTCCGCAATACCAACAACTAAGGGAGCAGTACGCACTTCCCAACAGCATTAGGGACATACTGGGCGACGAACCTTCCACTTTAGCGACAGCTATTTATTTCCTCAAGGACGCAGGGTTATACAACAACATTTAGGTCCTTTTAACTTTCTTTTGGCTGACGGTACATCTCTACCGGACGGGGGATTACCCCTCCTACGGTGGAGCTCCGATCTCTTTCAAAACCCTACCTAACTTTGATGTACCAGATTGTTTTTTTTTCTTGTTAGTCTTTTTACTGGAATCTGTTTTAATTGCTTCTATTTGGGTACATGTGAATTGTAAGCCAACTCCGTTACAAATTTTTTTGGTGGAACCCCCCTCTGGGGCTTCCCATTTTATAGAGATGAACTAGCCAACGGCTAAAAAGCTCTCTAATAAAGTTAAAAAAAAATGAATACTAGCAGAACCGTCTGCTGATGTGAGGGAGCGATACTTCCATGAACAGTAACTAGTTTCCGAAACAAACAAGGAACTGTGGTAAACGTACCATCTGCAAACCAATACTTTTCCTGTCCAAGACGTCGCAAGTTTTCATGAGTCCCAAAAATTAAGGGTCTTTCATTATTGTCACCGAAGTCTACCCGAATATGCCTAAAGTCCATTATGCCTATCGTACATTATGCCTAACGTCCGTATGCCTAACGTCCGTATGCCTAACGACGGTATGCCAAACGTCATGTACCCGTTCATGAACATCGCAACGAATGTTAGAAATTGGCCATGCAGGCGAGGTAATGGTTTTTTGTCTTTTTTTATTTCGTGTTCTATTTAAGCTTTCGAATATACCAGTAAGCTTGTAGAACGACGCACATTTTAGAACATTGTAGAACGACGCATACACTTCCCAAGTAGCATTGAAAGTTTTAAAGAGGTTTTAAAGAATTCTGCAAGTCTAAATCATGGTATACAGAACCCTAATGAAACCTAAATTGTTACTTGGGTTGCCTCGAATCTCTCCAGCAGAAAAAGTATACGAAATCGAGTATGCGAGAAAATGAGCGCTTCGTGTTTGCTTTTAGGCTATCCATATTCAGAAGCCTGGAGAGAGGAGTGGAGAAAGCACAGGTCTGATAATCGCAACGTTCATGGTTCGTGTCCAGTCGGCGATCTATTTCCTATTTTTTTCGACATAATTCATTTCACTCACTAATACACTCTCCATTTTTCGGTCTCCAATTTTCTTGCATTGGACCGCAGCTAGGTTTATCGCATTCTGGGTTCATGCGGTCTTCACTAACATCCTCTGATGATGAATCCCACATAATTGTAAGCGAATCTTACATCCCCCGGTTGTTCCATTAAAATTTTGTTTGAACCAATTGCATCAAACTTGCTTAAACCTACTAACCTGCAAAAAAAAAACCCTTAAATAAGTGTTAAAAAATATCAAAATGGGCTCAAATTCTTAAAACTAAGAGATATTCATTTGCTTATTTTTGCAAAAAAATATGCACTTTTAAAACACTTATAACTTTATTCTTTATTGAAAAAAATTGAAAATTCAAACAAGGGGGTACAGTCTTTTTTACTCCATTTTCACCCTATAACTTCATCCTCTTGAGTGACCGAAAGTTTTTGCCTTCGAAAAAGTTTCTTCAGTTGATTTAATCTACAATATCGTAATAATTGTTTGTAATTTTTAACAAACAGTAAAAATGTTATTTTTCTCATCTGAGTGTATACCCCTCTTAAGCAAAAATGTCTATGAATCAAATGATAAACGCATGATTAGTGTGTATCAAATTCATGTAGTCAAAGATGCAGTAGATTTAAGAACTACCATGCATTCAGTATTTTAGCCAAAGACATCTGTTTCATCCCTACCATAACCGGTCTAGGTGTAAATTAGAAATATCACTTCATCAGCCGAATCTATCTTTGTGCCATTTCCATTCATTGGAGGATCAAAATATTCCAAAAACGTTCGTTAATTGATAAAGGATTAGCATCATCCCACCGAAACGCAATCTACTTTATATGGAAATGGCAGCAATTTACACCTCTTCCGACAAAACCCGCTATGCGAAATGATTGGAATTCTCCATGAATTGGAGATCTGGAAGCGGAAAGGTAAATTGAACTAAACCATTCAACTTGCCTCAACCCACACTGCACCGAACATTCGGAAAATTCCCGAATAGACAATCGACATCCAACCCAGTCAGAAGTGGGCAAAAACCTAAATTAAATTCCATCACGTCACACTACTCCGTCTCTCTGTCGACTCATTCTATCGTTTGGATCTACGAAAAGTTAGCTCAGCTGCCAGATACACACACACACATACACAGAGCCTCGTGGCAGCTGATTCCAACCGTCACTTGTTCGGCAAATAAATTCTCTCACATCGTTAATTAAAAATGAAAATGAAGAATTTAGCATAAATTTTCCCTTCACGTTAAGCAAATGGCCAACCAACGCACCGCCACCCTGTGGATGCCCATTTGAATTCAAAATGTTGAATAAATTTTCAACGTAAATATGGTATCCTAAACAGCTTTTTTGCCATCCATTTATGTCTTGTCGAGGGAAAAATACAGACCGTTCATGAAACCGACACTTTAGATGATAATTCAATTTTTGGCTTGGAAATACCCCTCAACATTCCTCTCAACTGGGGAGTTTGGTAAGTAGAGATGATCAACCCGATTCGTACCTTCTTCAAAGTTGTCCTTGAGAGCTTTCTACTCTCTATATACAATTTTGACACTGCCGTACTCTAACGGAACTATCAACTCTATACTTTCATCTTCTCATCTATCGTATAAAAATGAAATTGGCATCTTCAACTATGATTCAATTGAGATTTTATGGGAATCGTGATGAGAATGAATAGCAGATGAATTTTAAGGAGGATGTTAAGAGAATTCTGATGATATTTCAAAAAGAATTAGGGTAAATGAGGGCTGGGCACCCATTTCCTGTTTCCAGATCAGCTGTAATTACACAGAGAACCAGACTAGCAATCATCCTCAATGTGTAAAAACTGGTGATCTTAAATTAGGCAATACCGACGCCGGCCGCGCCCGAACACAGGTCAAGAAAGGAATGGGAAGGATTGTGTTGACATGACACTCGCTTTGATGGAAGCCGAGAACACCTCTGCACTTCCACGAGGAATCACTGGGATGTTGGATAAGAGGGTTGGGTTTGCAGCAGGGTTCGTTTTGGTAAACGATAAGCTGAATTGATGTCCCAACGATCATATAACGTGAAGGAGCTTGGGACTAAACCCACGGTCTTCTGCTCAGTAAGCAAAAACGTTTGCCACTAGGCAGACGAGCACCTTTTTAATCACCGAGTTGCCGTTATTACCATGTAGTCATATTAACAAATAAAACGATTGACGAATCTTGAATGAGGATGGGCCTGAGATTAGACTCATGATGTTCTGCTCAGTAAGCAAAAACGGTTGCTCTAAGGCCACCGAGCCCCTCATATCACATAATACCGTTGCTCAAATTTGTGTATCCATTCAAACCCGGAACCAACGACAACAACGAGTTTCGCAAAATACACGATACACAAGCGATTTTACCATAAATCTCTTTGATATGTAAGGACCTGGGACCGCGTTTTTCTGCTCAGTAAGCAGGCCACTGTAACCGACGATCTTTCAAATCCGAAAACTAAAAACTACGAAAAAGTACTTAGGCCTTCATTAAGTTCCACTTTCACGCGAAGTTCAATGACAGGGTCCTATCCAGGATTACATCTGAAAAATCCAAATCTGGCCAACGCCCACCTAAACCTGTTCTAATCCACCTGAAATGACAAACGAATGGAAGACTTTGACTACCCAGCCATGCAATAGTCTCATTCCGTGCCTTATGGCAACTTTATGATTCTATTGCGCTCATCTTTTTGCACCACCCAAGGGAGACTTGGTCCTGTACCTAATGCTTAACTTATCTCCATTCCACTCTGCTACTCGCTATTTCTTTCGGAATATTATTATATGAGACAATTCAATGCAGACGTCTTTCCAAATTTGGCAGATCGACAGGTAATCGGTGAGTTACCACGATATTTGCTATTCAACAACTCGAC